GATATTTTAGTTATATGTGTGGTAGATAAGTTTTGTTTCAGTAGACAATGATTTATAGACAATTTGACTTAGCTTTGACGAATCGTAGACTGAAAGCTGAATGACCGTAACCGGAGCTCTCACAAAACACGTGCGTTCACGACGTTCACGACCGTTCACGTCGTTATCCGTAATCGCCGACTTTTACTACGTCGCGTGTCTATACTGTCACTAAAGCTACGTCTACACGACGATCCTTAACTCGAGTTAAGCGTCTACACGGGGCCTTAACTCGAGTTATGGTAACTCGAGTTAGCGTTAACTCGAGTTAGCTTCACCTCGCCAGTCGATCGAGTTACCTTAACTCGAGTTAAGGCCCGTGTGGACGGGGTCATTCACGCACGCACGTCTACGTGCGCACGGGCGCACGCATGCACGCACGCACGAACGTGTACCTGCACACGCGCGCACGCACGCACGTGTACTTGCACACGCACGCACGCACGTGTACGTGCACATGCATTCACGCACGCACGCACGTGTACCTGCACACACACGGACGTACGCACGCACGCATGCACGCACACGTGTACGTGCACACGCACGCACGCACGCACGAACGTGTACCTGCACACGCACACGCGCACGCACGCACACGCGCACGCACATGTACGCACTCACGCATGCACGCACGTGTACGTGCACACGCACGCACGCACGCACGCACGCACGCACGCACTCATGAACGCACGTGTACGTGCACATGCATGCATGCACGTGTACGTGCACACGCACGCACGCACGCACGCACGAACGCGCGTGTACGTACACACGTACGCACGCACGCACGCACGTATACGTGCACACGCACGCACATACACACACACACGCACGCACGTTTACATACACACGCACGCACGCATGCATAATAAATCTGTAATAATCACTATCGGGTGTTGTCGTGTAGACGCTACATAATCGCTATCGGGTGTTGTCGTGTAGACGCTACATAATCGCTAACTCGTAGCTCTAGTACTAATTAGTACTAGTAATGCCGGTATATATCGGCATATGTATAGCACTGTGGCAACTGTACGCGGGATATATAGTACTAGAGCTAGCTACCCAGCATGTATCTTCAGACTTGTTATGTTATGTGATGTTTTCATACTTGTCGGTGTCACTGCACTGGATGTAGTGACAATTAAGGTATAGACTTAATTGTCACTTCGCTAGTAATATAACTTCAACAAATAAACCCAGCAACTGATAGTAGGAGTATAGCTCAAGCCAGGATAGCAGACTTGCAGTAATATTGCACTTAAAGGCATACTAGGCCCATTGATTATGCAATGTTGACGAATGCTAAGGTAACTGGCACCTTGTGTAGTTAATAAGTACATAACCATATAGCCTAACGCGTATTAGTTTGTCCAGTATCACTGCTGGTTACAAATTTACAAGCAAGACTTGAAATCGGTTGTTGATATTCATGTACGTGCCGTAAATGTCATCCAGGAAACAAGCGATGAGTCGCCGATGACGTAAACATTTGTGCGGCCCGTATGTTTTGGACGCCAGATGAAATGGAGGTGTCAGCGGTATAACCACGGTAGTGTGCAAACATCAGTCGCCGATGACGTAAACATTTGTGCGGCCCGTATGTTTTGGACGCCAGATGAAATGGAGGTGTCAGCGGTGTAACCAGGTTACCAGAGCCACGGACTAAACATGGAAATGGAGTAAAACACACGTACTAACTAGACAGAGGGCACTCACGGAGAGTGCATACCTCTGCCAGCGACATACGCCATAGGACATACGACTCACGAACACACTAATAACCCACGATATACCCATGTAACATGTATGTGTTACGAGCTGGCTCGCCGCTCGCTGCTGCTGACTGCTGCTGGAGCTGGCTGTGGCTGGCTGGCTGGCTGGCTGGCTTGACTCGACGCGCTAATATCGATCGCGCGAACACACTAACACACTAACACACAAATACACGAACACACGAGACCGATCACATAACCTCCTCCAACTCCGTTGGGCGGAGGTAATCACGGACGCACATGGACAGCCCTGACAACAAGTTCCTTATCACAAGCGTCCGTGTTTTACGAAATCACTGATGATAGCATTGCGTACGGCCGAGCATGCTTGCGAAAATGTCCGGTGCACTATAAATCTGTATCACACCTGCTTCGCCGGCAGCAGTTTGAAACTGTAAACAACTGATTTCTTGGACTGCGGATTTCAATTAGACATTTCTTAGTAACCAGCAGTGATATTGGACAAACTAATACGCGTTTGGATGTAAGGTTATGTACTAATTATTAACTACACAAGGTGCCAGTTACTCTAGCATTCGTCAACATTGCATAATCAATGGGTCCAGATAAGACGGGATACTAGAGAAGCGTTGCCGAAAGGAGGTGTTGATCCGAAGCTCTGAGCGCAGATCTTGCGCGCAGTTCCGCGGCAAGGCGCACGCGACCGCGGGAACGTCCTATGGCAGTATGCAGCGCTGGCAGCTATGGATCCGTGCGCCGACCCACCCACTCCGCGCACGGATCCCAAGCTGCCCGCGCCGCCTACTGCCCCAGGACGGTCCCCCCGGCGCGGGGGGCGTGCCC